TCGAGAGGACGTTGAAAAATTCCCCGGCTGGTGCTGCTGCTGTTGATTGTTTGAACAGGACGCTTCCGCCACCGCTTTAGATAACAGCAACAGCAGCAGCAGCAGAGGCGACACACCCTCTCGCCCACAATGAGTGTAGAGAGGTGCACAGCACAGCAGTGGTACTACATCGTCTAGGAACGAGCGTGATGTGTTACTGGTCCCGTGCTGTGATGTATGTGTGCCTCTCTCCAGAGCAGAGTCAGAGGCCGCTCCCTCCCGCCGCGTCGCAACACAATAACAACAACCAACCGATGGACCCACAGAGACCCAATCAATATCTCTCCTCTCGCTTCCTCCGCCGAAAGCTAGCAGCAGCAGTAGTATAGGGCACACCCTGCTCCCGTCCCGCTCTCGCTGTGTGGTGTGTGCAACACACGCTGGTTGGTGGGACTCCCTCTCTCTCCAGAGAAAAAAAGGCGAAAAAAAGGCCGGCAGCGTTGAACAACAACAAACAACGGAAACAACAACAACAACATCATCAGCGATCAACCCCAGACCAACCAAACGTTCCCCGCTTCCTCCGCCGTCGCTAACAGCAGTATGTGTGTGTGTCCCGCCCCCCTTGTCCATGTTCCCTGTCTCTGTGTAGTGCGTGTCTTGCCAGTAGCAGCAGCAGTGTGTGCAGCACGGCAGTGCGTCGTGGTTTCTTGCGTGCGTGTAGTTTGTTCCCAAAAAAACAAAAATGACGCCTCCCGGGGATGCGTCCATGTGACATATATATTTGCACAAACGGTGTGCTATCTCGAGACACCGACCACGGATTGCAAAGGTAGCGGTTGGGACAGCTCGGGCAAAATGTTACTTGTTGTGCGCAAGTTTTAGTTTGCAATTTGGTGCCGAGATGGTGAAATGGGCTCGAGTCTGCTGGGTTATTTAGGGCGTGCAGACAGACAGACAGACAGACAGACAGACAGACATCAGACAGCCATTGCGAAATTTTCATGCCCCTGGGCATGATAATTATTCTTTTTCTCGTGCGCACATACTCCACACACCATCCCTCTGAACAGCTTTTTTTTTGCAAAACAAAAAGCGTACCCCTATACGGGCCACTCTTTTCGCAAAAAAAAACTATTATTAAAAACAATAAATGCAAGCGAGGAGCGCGCACTTCTACGCACTGCAACTACAGTGTTGCGGTGGGCACTGCTGTATGTTTGAGCATGCTGATTTGAACTTCAAATCCAATCCTCAAGCTTTCCCGCGCAACACGCAGGTTCGCATGTACCGGGAGGCGATGGAGCACCTCATTGCGGCGCCCTCAGCAGCCTACCCGGCCGCTTCCCAATCAAGAGCAAGCCCAATCTCTACCACAGCAGGCGTCGCCCAGGAAAATTTGTCCAAGATCTTCGCCGGCGGGGAGAACGATCCCGACAATACGAAGCCGGCACCTGGGGCAATACCAGACGTCGCCACCACTGGAGGAGCGAAAGCGGAAGCAGTTGCTGAGGGTGACGACGATAGTGTTTCAGATCATGGGAGGGGCGGAACGAAGAAAGAGGTCCCACGACTTAGCTCGGATGATGCGGAGGGGGCGGAGAGCTCGGCGGGCAGCACCGCAGCGGAAAAAGGCCCAAGCGTAAGCGCGCCACCGTCGGTAGCGAGCCTCACAATAACGAGCACACGCTGCAGATTGTTCCAGTTTTGGTAGTTGCTGTCCGCCAACCGTTAGTGGATGCTGCTCATGTCGGCGGTGCTATTGGAAAAAGGTACCACAGAAGGCAGCAGTACTGTTGCTGTAGTTCTTGAGGGATACTTATGTAGATCGGCATGCACGGCACCGTGCTTTGGCGCACGGTGCCGCGGCCATCTGGTGGTTAGTCTTCCGCCACACTTCTTGACCATGCCGACCAGTCAGGAAGTATCTCGCAATATCGCGTGTCTCACCGTGCTACAAGTAGCAGAGTGTGGGCACAGCATGCCACCCTCCACATACGTGAAGTCGTCGTTTGTTTGCGCACGTCAAGCATCACACCGCAGTGCTGGGCTGTGCTCCATTTGGCAACGGCCTCGTGCCCCCCGACGTGCACATTCGCAACCGTCCTCGGTAGCACCGCTTTTGGCGAGGGCGCAAAACGTTGCGAGAAAAGGTGACGTTTGCAGGCTTTTTCTCGCAACTTTTCTCATGTACGCTCTTTTTGGGAGCAAACAGTTGCGCCAAAAGTTTGGAAACGTTTGCTTGTTCACTCTAATGGCGCGATCTGGAGCAAGGGTGTTGTCGCGAAAAAAGTGCAGGGCAATATTTTTCGCGGCGAGAGGTGCACCAATCCACGTCAAGCACATGCCCCTACCACACACGTAGACCCTCTCCCGCCACACACTCGCGCACGATCCACGCCATAATTGAACGGCCAAGTCAGAATTTTTGCACGCCGAGTTGGAGTTGCAGCTGTGTAAACTACGTACTTGTAGAGTCTGCGTCAATAGTTTGTGTTGAATGTGAGCATGATTGAGGTCTGTCTGAATTCGACTGGCGTTGTGCCACCGACTCGTTTTGCAACGTTCTGTTTCACACCCTGGCCGGTTTCGCGGTGTGGTATGAAGGAGTGTGCCTGCTTCTCGCCGTTGCTCGATATACAAGAAATGACCACGCCTTCGCATTGCACCAACCCCGTGAAGAAAACGTCCTTCGCCCCTATGGAGTGAGCGTGCAATACTAGAGTTGTTGACAAGAGTACCCGACCAAAAGTTGCCAAAAAACCTTTTTCTTTTGTCGCAACTTTATTGTTTCGAAAAGAACGGTGTAACAATTTCGAACCAGAAGCAGAGACAGTTCCGTCGCTGGCGACATCCAATTGCCTATCAATCGACCCTTCTGCCTCCTTCAACAATCTACGCAGGTTTTTCAAAGTAAACAAACATGCTGGATGAGGTGTAACATCGTCTAAGTTAGAGTTAGGGTCTGCGTGCACACTCTCGGGTCCTTTTTTGTAATAACCGTACCTTCTTTGCGTATGCAGTCGTCATCACCCTCTCATTGTTTCGCCTGCCGCCCGGTGCCTATGGCCACAGATTTGGGGCTTCATCGGGGGTGCCGTAGGGTGGATCGGGGAGGGGACGGCGGGCTGGATGGCGCAGTCGGAGGCCAGACGGGAGCACCATCGGCTTCTCGGAGAAGTTGGGAAGGTTCGAAGACGACGGGCGGCGGTGTGGCAAGAGAGGGAACTGCTGGCGAAAGCACGAGGTGTGTGCTTTCCGTGAGTCACGGATTCGGTTCGTGTGGACGACCAAACGGTTGGATTGCCCGTCACCTGCCTGTGTGAGCGATTCCACGCTCATGATTTTGTCGATGATTTACCCGTTGCGATTGTCTCGCGATGATGACGCGGAAAGCACATTGGCAGCCTGGCTGTCCTTGTGCTTGTGAGCATAACATTCCGCGCACGCCTTTGTCGGCCAAGGCCTCGTGCATGCCAGCCCTGGGCGGCACGCCCGTAATGTTGTGTCGGCGATGCTCCAGAAAGTAGATCAGTGGATCCGAGAAGGCCCGATGCCAAGAACTTCCTACCTTAGTGAAAATTTGGTGTTATTTGTTCCGTACCCGCTTTACAATAGGGGTCCCAGCGCCAGCTGGGTGGGCGCCGTATGTAAATAGTAAGAGGCCGTAGAGACGAACGATCGGGCCTCGATTACCACGCCTACATAATAAATAGCCCTGGAAGAATAAGACGAGATGCTCGTTCGTGGTGTTGAAAATATCGCCATTGAAAGCGCCTTTGAAGTGAAGGTGGCCTGGCTGTTGCACCTCGTTGGAGGTAGGGCTGCCTCCCGTTCCACTGGGGATAGGCAGGTAGGTATACGAAAGGCATCTACAAACACTACCGTCGCCCGTTCTTCAGTGTTAAGACCATCCGTTTCCTGGAAAAGTCGATGAAGCACTTCCTCGCCCCCTCATATGCCTGATACAACGTCCCTTGCGTGCATTCTTCGTGCCCACCCACCTGCAGCGGAGCTAGCGCGATGTCGAGCTGACCTCCTGTCCCGAAGGATCGCCTTGGACTCGAGGAGGAGCGACGTGGCGGATGCTCGACAGAACTGCCGGAGCCGGAAGGCGTTGTACTCTGAGCAACTTGTCAGCGCCATGAGGATGGGTGAGCACCGTGGCGTTCCGATCGCAGCGCAGCCTGTGCTGAGTGCGTACTGTAGGCATCGTTTTCTGGTCACGTGGGTTGTGCTCGAACGTTTTGTGCCGCAGACGGGCTGCAAGCAGTTCAGACCGGCCTGTGTGTTTGCGGCACGGCCACATGTTTGGGCGCGTGTGCTTACTTGTTTTGTGATCAAATATCCGCTTTCTCTGGCGAAAACACGGTTCGTAGTTGCTCCTCGTGCTTCCGTTGTTTTCCTCGTCGTTGCGTCCATTCCCGCGTGCCTTCTATCCCACCATCCTTTCTCGCGTGTTGTTTCCTGAGCAGGCGCCCTGAACGACTGCTTCCACATCTGGCACCAAGGACCGTTCGGCACTATCAACGGCTTCCGGGTTGGCAGGCTCAACACCCACGTGGTGGACTGGCAGGAAGTCAATGCTGGCGTGGGGCAGGCGGCCATCGTCCTTGTCACCGGTATGCATGCGTTTTCGGCTTCGCGATGCTTGGCGTGCTTCTGCGTACCCGCTCTGAGGATGCCGTGCCGTGTGCAAAGCGCCCCTTAGCGTCAGGCACAACGTTATGTTTTTGTGTGTTTTTGGCCGTTTGTGACGATGTCTCCCTTGCCACACCAACAACGGCCGTGAAGTCTTTGCACGAGGAAACTGGCCTGCGGTAGCGTGTAGACTTTGCCCCTCTCTCCTCCCGTTTCGGAAGCATCGGCTTGGATGATTTGATCGCTTCGCCCTGGTGCTAGTCTCCACCTCGCCTTCCTTGTTGTTCGCATGACACAGCCGTTGCATGTCAGCACCCCCGCGAGCTTTCATTCGGCAGCAGATACCCCCAGAGATGTTAGGTGCGGGTGCCCACACCCTCAGTATGTTCAACGCTCTCCAATTTTCCCCTCGGCCCTTGTCTTCCCCTACGTTGCCCGTGTTCGACGAATGGGTTGGCTCGGTTGGCGTATCTGAACTGGTATTCGGCACCGTCGCTAAAACCAGTGGCGATGGCGATGGGCGTGGAGTTCACTAAGTACCTCATCGCTCCCTGCGGGAGCTTCACCAAGATCGCTCGTTCGGAAGACGGGAGGGTGCTCTACAGCCTGCACACGGACGAGAGCTTTAGCCTCTTCCCGCGGCGCAACTTTAACTTCGCGCTCAAGGCCTTCCTGCACTGCCTCGGTAAGCCGATGGCGTGGATGCATTCGCTGCCCATCTTACGAGTCGTGGATTTGTGTGACGCAGTCGTGGGCGTGTGCCCGAGCTTGCTTCTTGATTGGTGTTTGTTGATCAGAACATCAGCCAAATGCATGCTTCACCAGGGATCAGTCAAGGTAGCACCTGTGATCACAACCCCATATTGCATTGCTGCACCACCTAGATCGGCAAAAAACGCCATTTCACATCGCGCCCGCGGTGCAAACGTTCGCCAGCGCGCGCACAAGCCCCGACGGTGCGTTGCCTCTTAGGCAAGTGGTTGCTGCCAGCATAGTCAAAGGCGTGGTTCGTGCCTTTCACTGGAAGGACGAACACACATGCGCCTTGCCAAGTTTCGTAGGACGATGCGCCTGCCTTGGTTGGCAACTACGTATATATTTGTATCTCGCAGTCGTAGTCGTACTTAAGGGTAGGTACTGGAACGCGCTGGAGCATCATTGTCGTGACGGTTGCATGTTTTCCACGTCCATTTTTTTTTGTTCGACTTAATCCTTCTCCTTAGGAGAAGTCGGAGATCACGTCCAGGAACACGACCCGACGCTGAAACTCCCCTACCACATCAAGGAGAAGGAGGGCACCGTCGGTGGGCTCCCGGTGGCCCTGGGCAGCAGCTACGAGGACTGGACGCGTGCGCTCAAGTACATGCTGACAGACCTCAAGTGGATCGCCGCGTGGGCTGCCAAGTACCTCCCTCCGTGCTGAGGCCTTCGCAACCTGTCTGTACACGCCCGCTGGCACGGGCGCATATTTATTTAATTGTTTCGTTTGCAGTCATAGACGCAGACATAATGCGAAGTCCTTCCTGGAGAATAGACATGCTCGAACAGGTTATAAGTGGACGTGCATAATCGGGGCCCGAACCACTGTGTAACCTCTTGCTTTGTGCTAGATGGGGTAGTTTGTTTGTTCCGCCGCAGGGAACCAAAAGCAGCGATGAGGGTGACTGGGTAGGTTATAGTATGCGTTTTGGTGACTTCAAGTGCCTGAATTTATCTGCAGTAGTGTGACCGGTGGTGTATCGTTTGTAAGATGGCTTTTGAATGTTGGCGAGCATTTGGTGTCTCGTGCCATTAGCTGGGTGATTTGATTCGGCAACCGTCTGCCTTTGTGTCTTGGGACGCACGTGTGGCCCTATCGAAACGAGGTTTCGACGCTACTTTCGTTGGGAAATGGTATGTTTCGCGGTGTGCTATCGCGGTTCGTAAATAACCGCTATTCTTGACGCGCCAGATGTAGCGGCTCTGTAACGGCTGGAGAGGTTTAGCGGCTGCAGTTTTTTGACATTGATGGTACCTGTCAAATCTTTACAACTAGCGCCTAACGCCTCCTGATTGATCGGGCGTTGATTGGCGTTGGTTCTAACGGTCGATTATTCTTCAGCGCCCTCTCGCTGTTTCCCATTCCGCGAACTCGGCGCAGCCGCAAGCTCGCCCAGTTCGCGGCCGCAAGGCCGTGCGTTGGCCGTGGGTGAGGGTTAGGGTTAGAGTTGGGTTATGTAGGGTCGGCCACGGTATGTGACACATCCCGTGTTAGGAATCTACTGTAGGTTCAACATTGGTTAGACCTCAAGAGTAACTATCAAAGTGTATCCGAACCTCAGCGGCGATGCCCTGAACTAAACAGCTATTTCACCAATGAACGACTTTGCTGTTGACGGCTAAAACCGTTACTACGACTGGATGGAGTAATGTAATGCATGTCGCGCCACGGGTACGCAGAAGCGCGTGATGTGAGCGGAAAAAATGTTGGGTTGTGCTATGCGTATAGGTCTACAACTCGCCGATGGCTTGCCGAGATCTGTCTCCGATGGGTTATTATGATCTGCGAGGACGGAACGAAAACGACGCCGTTCGATGGCTGTGTCATACTTTTATTGCGCAAATTTATCCTCCGGAGATTTTTTCGTCGGGGCACGGGCCGTCGGGGAACGGTGGAGTGTGGTTGTGTTTGTTTCTTCCTGGGTACAGAGATCTCCGGGCACTGAAGGGGACGTACGTCTCATTTTGGCGGAGGCTGGGGTTCTAAGATCCTCTGGGGTCATGCTATTTATTGCTGCTCTATCGAGATACTTCTAGGTTTCAGCCGGAAGGGGTTCTTAACCGTGCTCGCTAACAAATGGTGCTCAAGTTGTCACACGTTGGAGGTTTTCGAGCCTCGATTTTTCGAGCCCCGAGTTCGTGACTGGGAGCTAAAACTGTTCTTTTTTTTTTCCAGTTTCGGGGATTGATTGAATAGGCTTGCACCAACTGAATGGGGCACTAAGACGCCGGTATCTCGGTTCGATGTTGGGGATATGTACCGGGGACCGGCTGACTGATATCGTTCACACGTTCGTTCACACGTTCACACTCTCATTGTGGTAGATTAGATGCGGATTTTTTTGCTTCGCAGTGTGTATCGCCGTATGTACAGTTGAGAGCGCCCGCACCTATCTAGACTATAGACTATGCATTATCTAAAACCTTTTTTCTTTTACGTTGTAGTAGTTGTTGTTGTTGTGTTGTTTCTCACATTAGCTCTATAGTCCACAAAAAATCGGGAGCCCGTGGTCTCAAAACCCGGCACATACGACGACGCGGGGAAACAAAACAAAAATAGGGCACAAACCATTCGGAAAAAGAAAAAATGTGCAGCAAGACGTACAAAAACAAACCAACAGCAAAAGCGAGATCAAGGTACCCAACACAGCAGAGTAGGCAGGGAGGTCATGAAAAAAAGAAACACAGCACAGAGGCCGAAGGCAATACAAAGGACATACATTAAGAGGAGTATAGCATACAGTAGGGAGAGAAACAGGGCGCAACAAGATCAGCCGGGTACATAGTTTGCCACAAATGCTGCCTCGGTCGCCCTACTCGCTTTTACAGCCGTGCCCAGTCGCCGGTTCTTCGCCCCCGCCGCCGCTTCGCCGGTTCTCTTTCTCTTCGGTCCTGAGATGGCCGTACTCTCTGCTTCTGCTTCCCTCGCGCGCTGGCGCTTCGCGGACGCTTCCGCCTCCTGCCTGTGCCATTTCCTCATGAGTCATGCCGCCCCGTCCTCGACCTTGTTGTACCACACCTCCGGGTCCTTGGCGCTCTCTTTCCATTTACCCCCTTCCTTTTCGTCTCCCATGTTGAAGGCCACGAGGTCCTCTCCTAGACGAGACACCCAGTCGCTCTCCTGCCCGCCCCGGTATCCCACGCCCCCCGCCATCGCTCCTAACAGCATGCGCTTGGGGAGGCGGTTGTCCTCCATGCGCATAACGAAGCCCGCCAAACACAGTCTCCGTTTGCGCACGGTGGCCTCGATGGTTTCCTCGCAGCCTGCCTGGATGAGGGCCTGGGCATAGGACAGGGGACGGTCTGAGCGTTTCCGCTTGCCCCAGCCGATGCTCCGTGTAAGGAACTGGCGGTGGGTCCCATTGAGCTTCGTGTAGTGCTCCGCTGTTGGGCTTCACGAGGCGCACCCATATAGGAGAGTCTCCACCACTTCAGCCTGGAGTAGCCGGATCTTGAGCTGGCGGTTGGCCCGTCGCCTGTCGTACATCGAAGCACTGTTCCGGCGGTAGCACTTCCACGCTCGGCAGCTGCGGCTCGTGATCTCCCGGTCGGCCTTCCTGTCCGCGGAGATGGTACGTCCGAGGTAGACAAACCGATCTGTCTGTTTGTACGTCAATAAGTGTAAATGTTTGGCTGTCAAGTGATCGAGCGGTAGCCGAACACTATTCAACGTTTTCTCATCATCCGCCGTTCAAGGTTCGTTCCATTTGCATGCACTACACGCAGTTGTCACTCAGTAGGCAGTCGTGATATTTATGAGCTAAGTGTTCATGAACAAGGTGTTGATACTCCTTCTGGACTGCTTTCGACGCAGCGATCCGGGAGGTTCACAGCCGTGACCATCTCGTGGTGCTAATGGACGCCAACGCACGCACTGGTAGGAGACGGGTGCTGCGATGCCAAGATTATGGGCGCGTACGGACGCGACATTATGAACAACAACGGGGAACAACTCCTTAGACTAGCATCAGAAAACCAACTCTCCCCGACCAACACCTACTTCCGGACACCGAATGGTAAAGTGCAGCACACATTCCAGAGCTTCAACGAGGGGAAGGAGAAGTACCGCCTCGACTTCATCCTCATGCGTCAGACGGACCGGCGTTTCGTGCGTAATGTCTCCGTCAAACGTGTCGACTTCAAGGACTCTGACCACAACCTCGTGCTTACGACTGTCCGCCTCCCCCCCCGTGTCGCACCCAACCGACGAGTGCGGGGGAACAGCGGAAGCAGCCGGATCCGTATCGACCTCGAGCGGTTGAGGAAGGACAAACACCTACGGGTCCACTTCCAAAACAGGGCCTCCAGCCGCCCTCCGCCCACGGCGCTCAGGCGGCCAACGGGAGAGACACCCGCCGAGCTGACGGCCACGGTGATGTCGGCCGCTGCTGAGACCGCGCCGCTGGCGAGGTGCGCA